GTTTGTGACGTGACCTAGAATGACATATTTATTGGCGTGGGGAAAATGTCTTCCATATTTTATTTGCCATTTTTGTGGCTTTTAGTTTATTTTCTATGGAGATATAATCAGTACAGTGTATTTATTAAGACAAAACCAAAAAATTTTTAAAACAAAACTAGATGGCATATAGATTTCTTTCAAATGGTAATCACAAACCCATTTTTTAGATTTGGAAGACAATTTATTGGTGGTTTTGTCCCGAACCCTTCCACATACATAACATCTTCCTCGGGATTCGGTTCTAGCTTCGGCTGGTTGCTCATCTTCCTCAATACCAAGCAGCAGTTTTGCATGTTGTCGTAGCTGCCTTGAAATGTTTGTATTTTGAGATATTTGTTCTTAATGAGGTTTGATTAACTCTCAACTTAGATTTTGCAAGAACCGAATCATCTCGTTCATAAAATGGTGATATTTGTAAATGCAAAGACCATTTATTGCGAAAATGATTACCATATTTTAGAACAGTACCATCGAACAACGTCTAATGTAGAGCGCAACATTATTGTGTTGACAAAGCTGGTTAATCAGGTCGACTCCAACTTTGGTCATATTATAAAAAGTCACGACCTCAGGTTTATTTTACCTCCCCTGGATCTATATTAACGGTAGAATGAAACGAAATGGAATGTGGATAAAACTAATACAACATTGTTCTTTTTGAACAATAGGACACCAAAGCGCAGCATTTGTAAAAACCTAATACAAAGAAGCCTTTGTAGAAAGCCTTTTAGTCAAAGGAATTCTGGTGATCCAGTAATCGCCTGTGATATTTTGATATGATCCAGATACTGGTTTAACTAAACGCAACACAACTCTTCTTCCGAGTTGCTTACTTTGTAAGGACCTTCTGGCTGCCTACCTATATAGGCTTTCGTGTAATCTGTCTTAGTGTCAGTTAATGTAAATATTTTTAGATTGTATTTAGCTAACTTACTTGATATGTACTAGTTAAAGCTGCATCTACCTCCAAATACTAGAAATTGTTCATTGACTGTGAGGTACTCACTTGGTGAAAAGTAATTTTGAAACTTGAATCAAAGTAATTCCAGCACATCTCTTATTGGTGCCAATTCGTCAATGGCTTTTCACTTATTTCTATCAATAACACTGTCAAACGATAAGCATCATATCAAGAAGCGAAATCTGGATTCTGATAGATAAGTAGCTAGTTTCAAGACCATTTGCCTTTGAATTATCCCAAAAACTGTTTTTAATGGACGATCGGAAAGAACCTATGAAGAACAATAAACTAATAAATGCTCGAATTTCCACTGAACCTGTATGTTGTGTATTTCGATACCATTGGAAATTGTTACGGATTCTATCTGTATAAATATTAGTGCAATGAACTATTGTGTTAATATTATGTACACTGAGTTCGTACGGTTTTTACAGACCCTATTTTCCTCCATTTTATTCTATCTTTGCCCACGTAATCCTCTTTCGCATGATTCACTCGCATTGATGTCAATTTCTTTACTTACACTTCCACTATTATCACTTTTGTAAGTTTCATCTGCTTCTTCTTCGGAAGCAGTATTATTTTTACTTTCAGTCACGTGGTCTTCTTCTTTAAAATCACTTTTGTCGTCAGTATTAGCTCTATCCTCATTCTCACTCAACTCCTCGAACCTTTTCAACCAAACATCAGGATCGTTACTTCTTTCAAATTTACGATTTTTCGAATTCTCAATTTTGTTCTAAATAAGTGAGATCTGGTAAAAATCACGAGTTAATATCATTATGAGTCGGCTTCGAAAGTACCGCTCGCGTTATAAAAAACTGGTACAACTCTAATAACCGAAAATCAGGTTTTTCAAGTTGTGTAAGTTGATCTTATTACATATGTTATTCTAATTTCTAGGGCAACGTTGCCAGTTCAACAAAAATATTATATTAAATCAACTAAAAGGAGGGTTGTGCGACAGACACATTATAAAATTACAAGGATGTTTTAAATCCAAAGATTTTGGCCATTAACGCAACCCTCTCCCTGGTTGTTAAATTTATTAGATGCGGTTTTTTGTTGTTAAGGATAATAATTATACCTATACAAAAACATTTTTAAATCGTTCTTTTTTTTATTTAGATTTAGTGCAATTCCGTTATCTGTGATAGCAACAACGAATTGACTCATGAACCATTGTGTCAAGTCTGAACACAGATTTACATGGGGAAAAAAAGTGAACCAATTTTATATGACGTGAACTGTACTATCAATATGTGCTTATATATTAGTATAGTTGGAAGACCAAAATCGAAAATTTACTTTGGCAAACTTGAGAACACGGTTAGTGGCGTGGGGGATAGTCGTCTACCACTAAAAGACTTATGCAAATGCTTGGTAACTATGGGATTGTTTCTGTGCACAATCACGTTATACATTCACTTACATACTGCTTGGAAGGTACTAATACCTTTCCTCTTATGGTGCCTATATGTTGGACACTAACATGACTATTCTGACTTTGTTGACTACTGCCCTGAAAAGTCCGGTAGTGGTTAAGTTAAACTATTTTCGCAGGTTATGCAGCCAAGATATTCTTCTTCGTCCTAGACCTCTTTTCCCATGAACTTTACTTTGAAGTATGGTCCAAAGTAGGTCATATCGTTGTGCATTGCACATTATATGGCCCAAGTATTGCAGTTTGCAACGCTTTTTATGGAGATGCTTCAGTTAAGGTCCATAATTCCACGCTATATAAAAGAACCGAGAATACGTAGCATTTTAATAAACGAACTTTTTTTTTCAATTTTATATCGTGGCTGTTAAAGATTTTTTTATTTTGACGAAAGCTGATCTTGCCTTCTCGATCCTTATCTTAATTTTCGTCGATTAGCCCCACTGTTCATTTACGTTTGCACCTCGATAACAGAAGTTGCTGATTTGTGTTATAGGTTGTTGGTTAACTAGTAATTGACCAGGTGGTATCCTATTTTTGCTTATAACGATATATTTGGTTTTTTTGATGTTAAAATCAAGCCTAAAGATGCTACTTACTTCTGCCGCCCTGGAGACAAGTGTCTGCAGACCTTTAAGACTGTCTGCAAAAATGACAGTGTCATCAGTGTATCTTATGTTGCTCAATCGTTCTTCGTTTATAAGTATTCCCTCGTCCATGTCCGTTAGCGCTAGGTTCATAATGTGCTCTGAATATGTATTGAATAATAATGGGGACAATATACATCCCTGTTGCACACCTCTTTTTATCCTGACACCTACCAATTTAAATCTGTAAGTAAAACTAATGGAGTGGGTGACGTATGTCACTCACGTAAATTATTAGCGGAGTTCTATTAACTTTTTTTATATTAAGATTAAATTAATTAAGTTGAATAAAGTTCAACTAAAGCTAATTCAGATAGGGTTGCGCTCGAGTCGATTATTTTCAGTGGAGGACTTTATGATATACTATATTTTTCGTTAAGTTCGCCAGGCGTGAGAATGCACAAAGTTGATTGTTTATCTACACATCAACATACTACGTTTTATGTACAAGTTAAACCATTATTTTTAATATTTAGTGCACAAACATTAAAAATTTCAACTTCATTGACAACTTCCGTGTTAACAAATTTCTTTCATTCTTTTAATATCTTCGCGTTTATCATACTGTTTGAATTTTTACATCACCAAATGCCTTTTGTTACATAATTTTAATTGGTATAAATTTCTAAGTATGTTGACAATCTAGTTAACCTTTAGTTGTAAATTGTAAAGTAGTAGGCCACTGAACAATACGTCTTTATTAATTATTACACAGTCAGAAGATTTGAAGGAATGCAGTGTACTAACAATTTTGTTTTAAAAGTTTAGTTCATCTGTATTTTTATTACTTGCTCCTAAAATCGTTCAATCATTTAATCAGTAGTAACTTTTTTGTTTAGTGATTATATTTGAACACACTTTATTAATAAACTCGTCCTTCGTTGAAACGAAATGTAAAAATTCGGCAAAAACGATTTCATTCCTCATAATAAATACGGCCATTACCGATAGTCGGCAAATGGCTCAATGCATTTCGATCATATTCACTTTTTATTTAATTCTCGATTAAAATCGTCACTCAATTCACAACTTAACGATGGGTTTCCTAACTTGACTAACAAACTGCTGCACATGACGTAATAAATATTTTCGATCAAAAGCAAAGGCTCGTTATGTATCTTCTCATTCACCTATATAGGATTCCCTGAACGGGCACAAAATCGATGTAAAATTTCATATGACATGTATTCTTATATTTGCTCCACAGTTCACGTGGATTCGATGGAAGACATACCGAAATAGTTATTTAAAAGAATGGGGGTGTTAGATTTGGAGGTTCAAAAACAATTGCTTGAGCAATTGTCATGTTTCATTGATCATCGTTTTCAAGCAAATTAGGCTGTTGAAATGATGACTTTTGATAGTTCAAACTGATATCGGTCCACGAATATTCACCAGCAATAACCGTAAATAGTATTCGTCACAAATCGGTTGAACTGTGTAAATATAACCAAGAGCATTACGCACACCTGGATGACAAGCAACTGGTTCGTCTCGCTTCCTACGTTGAAATATCTTCGATAACAAGTTTAATGCCGGCCACTCACGGTCCAACGGTGTCGTTCGACAAAATCGGACAGCGGCGTTGTTCAATTTGTTGGCATATCTTGTGCGCCCACACACCGTACAGCGCCGCAGTATTTGTTCGGTTCTCGACCATGTCAGATCAAACAATCATTTTAGCGTCTCTTGCTTTGTGTATAACAAAGCGTAAAAACAAACCTAAAATGAAACGTAGATTTTGGTGCAAAGAATGGCTTATGAAAAGGGATGCACTGAGTCATGTCAATTTAATAGCTGAGTTGCGATTACATCCAGACGATTAAGAAACTACCTTCGCATGGATGAAACTAGTTACGAGGAGTTGCTATCAGCGGTAACTCCTATCATTACAAAAAATGACACAATAATGCGTCCTGCAATATCACCACATAAAAGACTTTCGGCAACTTTAAGGTAAGTTAAAAAAATACATTTTAAAAACACTTTTTAATTTTTTTTAATTGTATTTGAAAAAAATATGCAAAATATTCTATTTATTTATTTTTTAGATTTTTGGCGACTGGAAGAAACTATGAAGATTTAAAGTTTTCTACTATCATCTCCCCCCAAGCATTAGGCAAAATAATACCTGAAACTTGTGGTGCTATTTATTCAGTTCTTCGTGAGGAATATTTGAAAGTAAGTAAAACGGTAATGAATCTTCTTTATATTTTAATGAAACTATTATACTATAGTGTACATACAAGCTAACAGAAAAAAAAATGTTTTATTAATAAAAAAAACAAAAGTAGTTAAAAAATACATATAACGAAACTAAACTTACTAATTATTATTGTTATCGTTAAAAGTGGAAAAAACCTCAGATGCTGAATATAGTGGATTATTTTGACCGACATTATGAGCTTCTAATTGTACATAAGTAGTACCTGTCGCCGTGCTGCCAAAATAATTATCTTGAATTCGAGAGTTATTGGTAACACTTGAAATGCTTGATGGTGGCTGCAATCGCCATCCCCTGCATAAAACATCACTTTCGGCCTCAAATAGAACGTAATTTATTAGTTTTTCTGCGATTATTCTTTGACTACTAGGAAGCTTCCTTAATTTTACGGCTACATTATCCCCAAAAATATCGAATCTATCCTTTTCTCTTTGAACAACTGGCGTTTACTGTTGTAACTTCTCGTTTATTGTCATAAGAAGTTCATCCTGGGATCTGTTGCTGCTCGCAGTCGTTTTTTTTATAAATGAAGTTTTGGTAGATGAAGGAGTAGCACTACTAACTGATAGTGTCGAGTCTTGAGACAATTGTGAATCTTCATTGTCAGCAGTTATGGTGAAAAATTGTCATCGCTAATTGGGCTGCTTAAATTAGTCACCTAAAAAAATGAGTAAACTTATATTATCGTGGTTTCATGTTGTTGCCAGAACTTAATATCCATTTCGCCTTTTATATAAACATTTTAATGTATTAGGTAGATTGAATATTTTTTACAAATACTGTTTTTTTTTAGTTTCCAAAAAAATGAAGAGGAATGGAAGAATGTTGCAAAATTGTTTAAAAAAATGTGGAACTTTCCGCACTGTTTAGGTGCTATAGATGGAAAGCACATTCGAATTATTCCACCAGCTCACTCAGGCTCTTACTTTTACAATTACAAAGGATATCAAAGTATAGTTCTTATGGCTATAGCGAATGCAAATTATGAAATTATGTACTGCAATATTGGTACCAATGGAAGAATTTCGGATGGAGGTGTGTTAAAAAATACAAAATTTTATGAGAAATTGGTATCCGGAACTCTAAACATACCTCAACCAGCAAAAATTGAACCTAGCGAACGAACTCTACCTTATGTTTTTGTTGGAGATGATGCTTTTTCGTTAGGACCAAACTTACTGAAACCATTTCCTCATACAAATGTAGGAAAAGAAAAAACCATTTTTAATTAGAGATTGTCACGTGCGCGGCGCATAATTGAAAATGTATTCGGAATTTTAGCTGCTAGATTTCGAATATTTCATACAGACATACAGGTTAACGTGAAAGCTATTGAGAAAATAGTAATGGCATGTTGCGTTGTACATAATTTTTTGCGTAAAAAAAGTCCAAAAGGATATACTCCTCAACACCATTTGGATTATGAAGACGAAGAATCTGGAATATTTACACAAGGACTGCGAATTACTTCAGATGATTTAACCAATTTAAAAATCAGTTCTAGTGCTAAGAGTTCAACACAGGTCGCAAAAATTACAAGAGAAAATTTTATGGCATATTTTAATAATGAAGGGGGTGTTAGTTGGCAAAATAAAGTTGTTAGAATGTATTTTTTTTTTCAATTTACTTACCTCTTTCTCATCAGATAGATTTGAAATAGCTCTTCGGGGTACATCCTGATCATTTAAAAAAGAAAGCAACGGAAAATACCACAATTTAGATTTATAAATCTCGTCTGTCCCTGCACCCGATTTACTTGATTGCAATACTAATTTTAGTTCTCTTTTATGGGATGTTCTAAAATTGTTATTTTTTTTCTTACATACTCTTCATTCGCATCTTTGTTTACTTCTTGGAACTTTAATATTAAAATGCTATTCCATTGCCTGTTTTCGGGCGTTTCTATCGTGATACGTTTTAACTTTAATTCGCCATAAACATTCTTGTTCTTTATATAATTCAAAAAACTCTCTTAAAAAATTCTCACTAAATGAAGCCATGTCGATTTTCTATATGATTAAAGCAAGTGTGTAGCATGATATAAGGAAATTTTCAATACGTCACATGCATGTAGGGATGGTGACTGATCACGTACCAGTTACTTTGAAACATGTATTTTATTTATACTTGTGGAACTGATCCCTATCACCAATATAAACGAGTACGGGTCATGGACGTATAAATGAAGATCTTTATTTATACGTCCATGGTACGGGTACTGTACTCATTTGTTTTGTAAAACAAAAACCCTCTATTAAAAAGATCGCATGTTGTATATGGAATTCCCTGCTCAAATTGTGATGGAGTTTATATTGGACAAACCAGTCAGCTACTTAACTCGATAATACGTTCCCACAAATATGACAAAAAAAACTCAACCGCCCTCACAAAACATGAAAACGAAAAAAAAACAAATTTGATTTTGAGAAAACCAAGATCCTAAAAAGTGAACCCAAAGAAGAAGAGAGAGCTTCTAGATCTAGAGTCTATACAAATAAAAAAATAACAACGGCATAAATAATAAAAAAGATGTCAAAAATTTAAACAAAATATATTTTAACTTAATTTAAAAACACAAAAAACAATCTCAGAACGCCTATGATGTTAAAATAACTGATTGTTTAAACGACAAACCAACATCAATAAACACATTAGATTTAAAATACATTTTACATGTAGTGACTTGTGGGTATGTCCTATGTTTTTAATATTATTTTAATTGTGACGTTGACTTGTTAGTACCGTATTTTACATGCTTGGTAAGTCAAAAATTTAACTTTTAAACCGTATTATGTTTGTCATGAAATGTTTTTTTAGTCAATATTATTTCTTGAAAAAGACATGGATTTCCTGCCGAAACGTCGGAAATATATATGAAAATGTCGTAGTATCAAATCAATTTTTTTTATGAACTTAAGCCCAAGAAAATCCCTAAAATATATATTAAGATTCAAGAACTAAACTCGAACAATATATAAATATATATATATATATATATATATATATATATATATATATATATATATATATATATATATGTATATATATATATAAACATATATATATATATATATATATATATATATATATATATATATATATATATATATATATATATGTACTAAGATTTCGAAACAGAAATTAATTAATTTCTCAGCAATACAAATAATTTTCTAGTTATTCCCACAAAATCATGGGCTTACCACAAACAAGTTGACATTGCCAAATTGATTCATCCATATCTATAAAATCCCCATTGCCAAAAATAAATATATTATTAAATATTTAAAATTGTATTTGCAAATATTTAGTTTCTACTTGTTCATGTAGTACTGCTAAAATTTATTATAATCATGTTATGCGTATTAATTTGTTGTTATTCATATTCGTCAGGAAATTATAAGCTTGTCGATCAGTGGATTATTCAACAAATATCGATGACAAATAACATAAAAAATAAATAATTTAATTGTTTCATTGCATTTGTCCTTAATTTTTATGGTGCATTTCTTAACGTTTACAAAGCTTTAGATAAATATCAACAGATGTATTATTAATGTAATGTAATAACAGTAATTTAGGTATTTGAAGTTAAACAGTCATTTTAATAACTATAAAGAAATCTTACAAAATACAAATAATGTTATCGTTATGTTTAGATATCTATTAAACGGATGATAACAAACTGATTTCCAAACCAGTATTTTTTAACAGGTATTTTTGTATACGCGTATCAGTTTAACCTGATCCACAAAAATACTTGGATCAATCACCTCTACATGAGTGACGTCTGCTTTGTTTACGTCCGTCCAGCTAAGTGTTTTGCATTTTTTAACCTTACTTTGCAATGTATTGTAATTTAAAAGTAAATTTTTTTGTTTTGTTTCGATTTTAAAAAAAAATATTTTAGCAAGAGTCTGTTCAGATAATTTTAAATCTGAATTAATTGGATTAATGAATAATATTAATTTTTTAAATTAATTGTAAAAATTATTTTAGCAAGAGTCTGTTGAGATCATTTTAAATCTGAATTAATTGGGTTAATGAATATTTTTTATCAATTTTGTACATATTTGAATTGCCGCCTTCAAAATGGCGGATTTTGGTCGTAAAAGCGATTGGCTGTTCAAAATAGATGCGTGTGAGCATACCCTGTTTCGTTATATCATGGTGTGTAGTTAAAAATGTATTTTTGCAGTATCGACAAATTGTAAACGGTCACACACGCTCAAAAATTGATGAAATCAACTCTGCAGTACTGCCGCAGACAGGCCAGTCTGTCTGCGGTCAAATTGTACGATTTCGTTGGATGCACGGTCACACACGATCAAAATCCTTGTCAATTCGTCGAACTCGACGAAGTTGAACAACGCCGCTGTACCACGGTCACACACGCTCAACAAATTGATGAAATCAACTCTGCAGAACTGCCGCAGACAGGCCAGTCTGAATGCGATCAAATTGTACGATTTTGTTGGATGCACGGTCACACACGATCAAAATCCTTGTCAATTCGTCGAACTCGATGAAGTTGAACAACGCCGCTGTACCGTGAGTGGCCGGCTTAAAGTGTAACAACAAATTACAACTGATATCTTAGAGTAGAGTAACTTTGGTGCAAATAGAACACTTTAGATACGATTGAATTAAATAAACTGGTTGACTACCTCCGGAAGCACCACTAAATGTGCAACAGTGGAATATTGTTTTCGCTATGTTGTAGGATGAGATACAAATCGTCTCATTGTAGCTGATATATCCACCACCTGGATAGAGTGTGGTTTCATCTTTGTATTTTCTCTTCAATCTTCTTTTAGTAAATGGTTGTTCGAATAAATTATTTATCAGTTGGTTTATGTGATCAGTGGTGCGATTTTTATATTTTAGTGAATGATTTATTAGTATGTACTTAAGTAGCGAGATGTCCACATCATTGTGAAGTGTATAGTTGGATACA